GTTGCCGGAGGCACACATTCGGGATTACTAGGAAAAGACTATTGCTACTTAATCGGGACAAGAGGGAGAAGGGGTGCAGAGGACGACGAACGACCTGGACAGTCTTCCTCCCCTCTTTTCCTCGTCCGTGGCCAAATAATTCTAATAAAATACGTCTGCTTGTCTCATGCAAATAGTAAACAAAATTTCGAGGTTATTTTATTGTTTCTTCTGAGACCTAGCCAGAAAAAGATTAATGAACATGCCTTTTCTAAATTGTAAATTGTCTGTACGACTGGCCGCCTTTGTAAAAAATTGCCTTTGAGACGGCGTGCCCAAGGAGCAGGGAACCTTCTCCGGCTCACACCCACAAAAGTAGACGCCCACCTGATTCGACTCTCTCATATGTCGTCCTGTGCAGCGGTGTGCGCCTCTATTTGTCCTCCGTTGCTCCTCGCGCTCCGCGGCGCGCGCCGACCACATCAACGCGGGTCGTCGGCGGTGAAATGCGGCCGCGCAACACTCGTCCGAAGGTGCGATACTTTGCTGGCTAATTACTTGCTTCGCTGGGTACCCACACTTGCCCTTCTGAACAAACGCCAACGCCGCGGCTACGCGCCCGCACTTCCGGCCGTGCCCACATTCGGTTTACATCGACGGGTTCTCAGCACGATAAACTCTTCATTCAGTTCGTGTTGCTGGGCCTAACTCCACGTATAACTTCTGCTTTTCCAGCATCTCCGAATCATACACACACCACAACACCTGTGCTCCAGCGCCTACGCGGACTCGGGCCTTCCGCAGTCGCGCTCGTGGGGCGCTGGCTTCATCTGGGCCATACCACTCTCACCGCTATACCGCGCGCACGCGCCCCCGCACTGGAGCTGGTTTCCAACCTTATACTACAAGTCATCACAGTTTCCAAAACAAAGTTCACAAACCAATACCACGACGGTCTGTATGAGCACATAGATTTACCACAACGCACTCCCAAATGACCTTACTTTCTCGTGCGTCTCAGATGTCTCTCGTTTCGTTTAGTCCGCCGTACTGCGCTCAAATTTGCGACTGCGCGGAATGCTCTCTCCACCTTATACAGTACACCCTCTTCCTCCGAAGCGCAATCCAGACAGACGTGAGCACAAATCGAACACCATAGAATGTTCCAGGGTTAATCATTTCACTCCATTTCACACATCGGTTACTTGCGCCAATCTTGGCCCGCTACGCCTCAGCATTTACAATCCTTTCCCAGCGAATTTTTTCCTGAATTTCTCCTATTTACACCTGGAGCGTCCTAACGGACGTATATGGCGGACAATTACCAGGGGACGAGGGGAGTCCTGCTGTCTCCGCCACTCGCCGACGTCCACCTCGACTCCCTCGGTCTCCTCCGTTCCGGGCCGCCGGCGAGGATCTCGCCGTGCAGCGGCGCCAAGTAGCCGCTCCGCAGAAATTCGCGACGCCTCTACCCCCACTGACTCCGTAGTACGTGCTGACACAACAGTTCGACGACTTTCTTGGTGCTGCTCGCCTCAGCAACCCTCACAGAGACGTCCCCACCGAGTGGTGGGTAGCCGTTCCCTGACCTGAATAAAGAGAATATACCACACCACTACACACACACCAACCACACTATAACCACACACATACCACAACACACAAACACACACATCCACCACTATCTATCCTACACTGCATAATCGGCTCTACCTCCAGTTGTCCAAGTTACTTGTTGAAGTACGGGCACTTTTCCTTCACACGGAAACAACGCCACTTTCGTCCCAATAGTCAAGTATCGTCATGTAACGGAGTCACGGCACGTATAAGCGCGGTACTTTTCGACTTAAACTTCGGACCCATTCTAGGAAAATCAAAGCCAATTTGTCTACGATCCACCTTACGTTAATTCACAAAACAATGTTTTAGCGCCTTGTTACAACAGCGGATTTTATACTGGAGTCTGCACTACCCTATTCCTTCCCTACCAACGTCAGACAAACCGACTGAACCTTTAAGTCGCCGACATAGAACGTGAATCGGTCTCCGAGCGTTGCATATGCCGGTCTACCCACCTTGGACCCCCCCACAGAGCGGAGCAAGGCAACGAAACTTAAAATAAGAAGCAGCATTTTACGGCGCTATGCATGGGGCCGCCTTGAGGGGGTTTCCCGACATGTCGATTCAGTAAATTAAAGGGTGTTTCTGTTTCATGTTGTCGTTGCTGTGGGACTTCTTAATACCTTGGAAAATGCCGTTTAATACTTTTTAATAGCCTTAATTTTCGCTAAATTGATTTATCAACTTTTAATACTTTTTAAGACCCCGCGGACACCCTGATTAAACAAATGCTTATCCTGCAGGTTATTCACTACATGTCTTTGCCACAGTTTCATTCCCTCCCACGTGCTTGAAATCGGATTTCACACCCAAGTTATTCATGGAGCACATACCGATGCAGCAGAGTCCAGCTCTTTCTGCTTCCTCTCGAACACCACGTCGTCCACCTTGTCTTTCTCAAACTCCTTCTGGCAGCGGTTTAGCAGCAGCTTGCGGAAGTTCACTGTGGTGTTAGGTTTGTCTGTCATGGGCACCTTGAGCTGCACAGGAACACAAGTAGAAACACAAGTTAAACATGGTTAAAGGTTTAGTCACTTTACGTTGAAAAGTGACTTTAATGTATACTTAGTATAAAGCCCTAAATAGTGTATGAATGAAGGCTAAATGTATAGTTAGGGTAACCATGGGTAGCTCTTTTTTTATTGTAAAACTTAAACGAATAGCATTTATTATTAAGATCACCTATTATGCAAAATCCACTTTTAATGTCTTTTATACATAAATACGCCTCCGTTTTAAGAGATTCTGAAGGTTTCAGGAAAACATATTCTCTCTCTTCTGTCCTGATCCACCGATATAAAAACCTGCGTGAAAATGACTTCATCAGAATTGGGGCCACTTTGTGATGTCACAATGTTTTTTTGGGTTATGCAACCATTAACCAATAACCAACCACCCACCCACCTTATCACCTGAATCCCCTCCTAGAACCCATTGTGTTTTTAAAAAACAAAAGCATCCACAGAGGGGCGTGGGGAGGGGCTCCTTATTTTCATCTAAATTAACAGACAGAGAATCAGCACTTTTGAAACAGGGCGGAAACATAGGGGATTATGGGATGCTACAATGCATGATCTGTGTGGTATTTGGAGCCAAACACTTCAGAGACATGTTTAGTATATATTTGAGACCAATAATATATTTTTTAAAAAGTGTATAGCAGGGGACCTTTAAGTTATTAATCCTTGACTTTATATTTGACTACCGAAACGTCTAACAACAAAACAATCCTTCTTTCAACTCCCTCTACTCAAGATAGTTGAGGTAACACATCTTACACTTTCATTTTGCAGCTCATCAAAAAACGATAATGTTCCCACTATGTCATCACATTGTATTGAACTGTGTTGTATTGCACAGCATTATGTTGCATGGGGCAGATATCAATCTAAACCCATCGATCTGTTTGCAGCCGACACATTTAGAGACTAGTTGACTGAACATTGAGATGCAAATTGGATCGCACACAAAGAATAAACTGCACAGTCTGTAAGATTAAGAAAGTTTGCTTATAGGTGTACTTAAATGCCCCTGTGAATGCACCCTAGTTGAGGTAAGCTTAATGTTTAACTTCCTGTCTGCTCCTCCACCCTAACACTGACACAATAAGCTGCTTACCGTGGCGAGGCAGCGGCACATGTTTCCGTAGGCCGCGGCGAAGCTGGGCTCGTCGATGGCCTTCTCAAACACCAGGTCGATGACTCCTTTGAGCCTCTCCTCCGTGTCGATGGTCAGGTCCGTCACCTGCTGCATCAGCTGGTTGAACTTCTGTGGCGTCAGCTTGTTCAGGATGCTGCGAACCTTCTTGAAGAGCTCCTGAGGGGAATCCGTCATAATAACAACATCAATCATTATTTTTTACGATTCACCTCTGCATCTATTATGTTCGTTTTCTGGTTCATATTTGTATGTTGTGCCTCTCCTGTGACATGTCTCCATGCTTGAATGCACAACAAGCCCTTTGTTGTCCTCATCCTGCCTGTGCTGCAGCACCTCTTTTCACCCTCTGTCTCAAACCAGAGCCCAGTCTGCTCTGATTGGTTGGATAGCAGGCTGGCTCTGTTGAGATTGGTCAAACGCTTAGAGATGTCCTAGTGTACAATGTGTTGGAGCACTAGCCAAAAGTGTAACATAATGATGTCACTGTGTTACAAAAGTAAACAAAGGAGTGCGTTTCAGAAGAGGGGGGAGTGTGTGGGAGGTAACTTTGGGATTTTAGCCCTTGCAGACCAGTTGCATGCAAAAAAACTGATATAACTACAGGAAATAGAAAACCCCCAAAAGCACAATAGTAGTTTCCTCACTAATATAATATTGCTTTCTATGATTTTTTGGTCAAAGTCTGGTGCGGATGTTTGAAAAGCTCCTCTTTTGTGTATCTTTTGTGTGTGTTTGTGTATATTTGGCCATACCTGTGTGTTTTGCACCACAGGATCATCTATAACAACTTCCGGCCTCTTCATGATGGGTTTCCATGCATTCTCTGATTTCTTCAGCTGAATTTCATCATTAACAGGAACGTGCATGATGATCTTCCTGGGTGGAGGCCGCCGGGCCCCAATGTTCATAGGCTGTGGATGCAATGAAAGAATACAGCACGTCAATGTCATTTGCGGTACTAGTTTCAAACTACACAATGTATTCCTTTACCCGTCTGTAATGAAAAACAACAACACATAACCCTGTGGCTTGGTCATTTTAACAACAATTGCCAATAATTCTTTACCGACATTTTAGAAATATGACCTCGGCTCTAATTAAATAGACCCTGCTTTGTCCAGAAGAACAGAAAACTAAAATGCTTTTCTGCAACCGATTAGACTTATTTCATTTAAACAAATCTTTCTGACAAAAGCAAAACAGTGTTAAGAGTTATATTGGAAGTCTCACTGGAATCAGCTAATGAACATTTATGGATATTTCCTTGATTACCAACTGGAACAAATACTTCAAATTGTAACCCATTATTCTCTGACTGAGGATGTTTTTTTTCTTTTAAATGTTTTTAAGGACTTTAACATCTGAAAGACTTGTGATATCATTTAAATAACCCCCCACTTATTCAACTAGTTCTCTATTAAATATGCGGATATGTTAATACATTCAAATGTGTTTGAATGTAAGATTGCCTGTGGCTGCTTGAGTGTTTTTTTGTGTCTGCACGTGTGACTCACTGCAGCGCCTCGTCCTCCGGTGGTCTGCCGGCCAAAATCTGCAAAGGCAGGTGTGAAATCGGGTCCTCTGGAAATCACCCTGGACTCCACCGCTCTGGATGGCAACTTGTTTTGGTTAATCTGCAGGACACAAAACACACACAATACATTGTCACACACACACAATTACACACACATATGATGAGCTGAACAGCAGGGGGAGCAGTGATCCTAATAAGAGTAGGAATAGGGTGAAAGGATTCTGCCTGGGAAGTGTGTGAGTGTGTGAATGTGTGTGTGCATTTCCAACTCAGTGGTCCCTTAAAGGTGACCCGTAGCAAATGACAGTCGTACTACATTAACAGCTTTTGGTTTATGTATTTTCACTGTACTGGTGATAAATCATGCTTGGCGGGATCAGCAGGCCATTCAGAGAGAGAAGTCAGAACCAGATGTGGAGGGGAAGGAAGGAAGGAAGGAACGCAGGAGGGAGAGAGAGGCAGATAGTTGTGGGGGAGGAGAGAAGAACAAATCCAGCTCTTTGTCTTTCAGCTGTCCTTGACTTCCTCTGCGCTCTTTCCCCAGAGAGATTTCACTTTCTACCCTCAGAGAAAACAAGACTTTGGGATTGAACATCGCCGGTCTGGTGGTTGTTCTTTTTCGGAGAGGTGGGGGAGGGGCAAGCACTCTTAGCACTGCCAAGAGTGACATAATCGCAATGTGATTTTAATCAAAACAACATTTCTGCAAGCCATATGCTCCACCCATACGTATGTGTGGATCGGAGGAATGAACCCAACTGTGTGCTGCATCTTTGATCCAGTGCACACAAGCTAACAGAGTAAAACACTGCCTGTTGCTATGAGCAACAGACAAAGAACCCTGTTTCATGGAGTTTATTCAGAACTAGGGCTTCAACTTATGACTGGTTTCATTATTAATTGATAAGATATATAATTGAGTAGCTTAATCGCTTCGTCTTTAAAACCCTTACAAAATGATGACACATTTTTCCAGAGCCCGAGGTAGATTTTAAAACTGCTAGTGTTGTCCGAATAACCACGTCTAAAACTAAATTACATTGAAATTATACTGTTTGAAACAATTAAGAAGTGCAGCAAATCTTTAAAACTCAGAAGCGGAAACCACATAATTGGACTTAAAAGATTATTTAAATATCATTTGCAGATTAATGTTGCGCTTGGAGGTTTACGGACAGGGGTCTGACTATTTAATGGGCATATCTGCAGGGACCAGCTTTCTCACCTTATCCAGCACCACGTCGCTGATGGGTGGGAGACCCTCAGGCTTCTGTATGCAGGCGGGCATGAACTGGAAGCCCAACAGGAAGTCCCTGTTATACTGACGCTTCCCACCGGGCTCAGCCAGGTCTGGACCACCAAGCAGGGAATGAGAAAAAAAGACTGAGAATAATTCAATCGTGGATATAAAAGCTCTTTATGGCAAAGAGAGTTTTGCTAATAAAGGTGTTGCCTCTCTAACCTTCGATGTCCTGTGGGGCCCCTGTGGAGTTCTCCTTGTCAGCGGGGGTGGCTCCACCATCGCTGCTCTCTGTCTCTGAGGTGTGACCTGCCCCGTTCCTCATGGGCTCCGTCTCGGCCTCACCGTTCTCCTCGGGGGCGGCGGGCTTCCCGTCCGCCTCTGGGCTGCTGGCAGGAGCTGGAGCAGGGCTGGAGGTGAGGGCTGCTGGCAGGGGCCCCGGGCTGCAGCTCAGAGGGGCCGAGGGCAGAACCTGCTCCACAGCAGGATGCTCCGCTGGCCGGGGCTCGTCCTGTGAGGAGGCAACATTCAGTTTTTGGATTGAATGTTCTGCATTATTTTTATTTAGTAAGATATTAACTCCTAACAGCTGATCAGTTGCTCTCCCTTGGCTCTCACCCCAGCCTGTTCACGTTGTGATCAAAACTGGCCTGCTTGCCTGGCTCTTAAATGGTGAAATGAGCTCCCTATCAGGACAGCAGAAACTATCACATGACTGAAACAATATCAACTGCATATTTGCCATTCAAATTATAAGACAAAAAAGGTGGTTGCACTAAACAATGGTTTGGTTTGTTTGAAGCTATTGTCTTTGCCAGGTTCTTGTTATACTAAAATGTGTATCCTCATAATTGCTTGCACTCAGAGTGGTGCAGTGATGATGTATTTGTGTAGGCCAAACCGGGAAATAGCATTGCAAGGAGTCAAAAAGCAATGGGGTTTCTCCATTGAATGTTGGGTATAATGCAGAAAGAAAGCTCTGTAGTACACACATATGTATGAAACTTAACACATTTTGCTCAGCAGGATAATCTCCATTTATAAAAAAATGTAAAACCTAAAAAGGCAATCGCCAGGATTAAAAAGCTAACGTTTGGCTGTGAATGAACTACGCAGGGCTGTGCAGCACCACCGCTAAGCTAACGGCGGACTTGTATTGGCGTGATTTTGTTTAGTAGTTTATTTAGTCACTTGTTAGCAAATGCACCAAGAAGCTTCGGATATTCACAAATTAATTATATTTATATTATATTTATATACACGTATTTGAACTCGTAATACAAAACCTGAAAATCTCTTTCCTGGGTTTTAAGACTCATTCCTGCACCACTATATTGTAAGGGTATTTGGATAACACCGTCAGTTATATCAAATGTAATGTATTTGCAGCATAATATGGAGTGGAAAATTAATAAATAAAAGCAGAGAGGGCATAATTGGTCAGGTACAAACAAAAAGACAGATAAGGCGGGAAAAAAGGAACACAATAGGCCTGTTGCAGCAAGCAGTACAAGCAGTCGCACAGAACGGACCATTCTATGCTGGTTTGATTTTCTACACAACTCCATTGTCCTTATCTAAAATATTATCTGTACATAAATACCATTAACGCATAAAAAAAAGGAATATTCACTTTCATCCATTGTTGGAAAAACATGTTGAATTTAAATTGTGAGGCTATTAGTCTTATAGACACAGGTATCAGGATATACTCTTTTTGCTCTAAGATATTTAAATGAAGGTGGGTATGTTTTTATTTTTTGCAATCCCTGTATTTCTACATAAAATAAAAAATGTCTTCACTTGCGGTGCTTATTCTTTGCCGCCTAAAAGAGGTCCTTTGAAAGTCTGGCACATTGGGAAGGGTATTTGTCAACATTTGAAGGTGACCTTTTCAAAACTTTCATCTCATTTAAGACCAGTGAATGGATAGAATTTAAATTCTTGCTGAAGGTGGGTTAGTCTTTGAATCTTGCAGGGTGAGCAGCTTGCGGCCTCTTTTCTTACCTCGTCCTCCTTGTGAGGTGCGTCTACAGCAGAGATCTCTTCATCTGGTTTCCTCCAGGTCTTTGGTATAGCAGAAGCAATCTGATTTACTGCAGGGAAATACAAAAGTGGGAGCATGCAATCAGCCAAACAACACAACAGCAATGGATTTAAAAGTGTTTAGAAGGCAAGATATATTTGTGTCAGTATAAGGGAATACTGTATGTTCGGATGCCTTTGTGTCTGGGTAGAATCTGGGTTTTCTTTTATAACCCTACCATGGATAGGAGAGGAGTATTTCAACGGAGGGAATGCCAGAAAATAGCATAAAATCACATTTAAGTCAATCTATGATGAATACATCTTTTTAATATGATAAACCTCGAACACCAAACTGAAACAAATATTGAATATTATTTTTTTTTAAAAGGTATTTTAGGGAGATTAGGAAACAAAAAGACTCAATTAAAAGTTAATTACTATACTTTATATTTTCTTTTCCTGTTTTGTCAGGTTTCAACCTCTTTAGGATTTGTTATGCATTGATAGAGTAAATACATTTTTAAAGATTTTAAAGGGCAAGAAGTGACTCCTCATGATTTTGAAGTGTCACACAGGTGAAGGTTATGACAGGTGTTGAGTTCTACAGTCAGCAAGTCAAGATCGCTCCTGAACAAACGCCGATGACCCCGAGCCTTTCTGTTCTACCTGTTTGTCCATGTATGTGAACCAGGGTGCACTTTGTGGAGCATTTTACAAACCATAATAGTTGTTCACAAAAATATTCCTACCTGTTTGATTTCGAATGTTGTGATTTCTTGGCAAATAAAAATATTAAGATGAGAAAATAATCATAGAACTAGGGCTGCAACTAAGGATTATTTTCATTATTAATATCTGCAGGTTATTAGGATGGATTCATGGTCAATAAAACGTCACATTTTGCAGAGCCAAATTATATTTTTTGGCAAAAAGGAGAAAGTCTTTTCAATTCAGAGGCAGAAATTAGAAACCATTTTGGATTTTCTTTTTCCAGTTTCAATTAATAGTCGATTATAAAAAAAAATTATATACCGATATTGATATACTGACAGATATTTGGAGTAATTGTTTGAGCTCTAAGGGTAACAAATACATTTGAAAAACTGTTTTGATGAGAGATAATCTTCAATATTTGCTTTATGGCCATTCATAAAAAAACTGCGTGAATGATATAGCCAAGTAATTTTGATGTCTGGCATAATACCATAAAAAGTATAGTTCTCATTAAACAGCATCTCCTTTGAAGCTGGATTTCCGCCAGAGAAACACTCATTCCAAAGAGTTGTTGCTCCTTTGTTGCAGTCAAAACACACAACACAACAAACCGCTGATCTAGAGAACAATAAAGCCTGCAGCTCAGTACCTGTAGTGGGACTCTTGCTGCTGAGTGCTTGTTGCTGGGACTCTGTTTTGCTGTCCGTAATGCCTCCGTGTGCCTCCGTCCCCGCTCTGGGGAAGAGGTCTTTAGTGTCTAAGCTCTTACTTGGCTCCTCGGCCTCTGTTGTGGCCTGCACTAGAGGCGGAAGGCCGGGGGGCAGCGAAACTGGCAAAGCGGGGGCGGGGCTTGAGGTCAGGGTGACTGGCACCACAGCCACAGGGGCCAAAGGGGCGAGCGCAGCGGCAACGGGCACCTCTGGGCTCACGTCAGAGGGCAAAGCGTCGGAGGAAGAGGCCTCTCTGTGAGCGGGGGCCGAGGCCAGGGCCTGGGGGGCAGCTGAATGCAGGAGAGAAGGCTCCGGTGTGTCCAGCTCAGCACCGGGGTCTGCAAGGCCGTTCAGAGCCTTGGGAGCCGGCGCTGGAGAGGCAGCCGGACTCCGTAGGGCGTCGGAGAGAGGCTTGTCTGTGTTGGTAGTCTGAGGTGGCTTGTGCTCCCCCACCGAGGGGGAGGGAGGAGAGGCTGATGCAGTGGATTCCTTGGCGGGGGCACGCTCACTGTTGTTGGCCACTGAAAGAGGGAGAGTGACGGGGGCGCTCATCAAAGCAGGGGAGGGAAGCTCTGGTTCGACGGGAGAAGAGGGCTCGGTTGCGGGAGCTTTGGCCTGGAGTCTCTCTACGGGGGCTTCAGACTGCACAAGCCCAGGCGAGGAAGACTTCTGGACAACTGGCTCCAGTTTTGGCGTATCATCTGGAAGGAGAAAAGTTCAGTAAAACACACATTTTACTTAACAGTCTCTTTAAGTAGATTACTTGGGTAAAGGTGCATGGATGGGTATTAAGTTCACAAACCAAACAATCTAAACAACAACAATATTCTCCACTAACAAAGAACAGGTTCCAAAACCTTTGCTTAAAAAATGCTGGTGGAATGTTCCAGCTAAATACTGGAAGAACAGGGAGCCCATCTGATTTCTGATAGTCAAATGAAAGTGAAAGCATTTCATGTGCAGCGTGTTATGGGGGAAAGGAAACTGATACAAGGCATGTGTTTGGAAATCATTGTTTATGCAAAAGAGTGATACTGAAGTAGCTGGAGGACTAAAATGCAACCTCAGACATAGCCTTGCAATGGAGGGGAATGACACAGCAAAAATAGACCAATGTTACTGATGGTCTGATTTCATATTTGTGCTATTTAAACATAAAAACCAAGTCCAAATAACAACATGTATAGACTGTTGGGAGTTGTTGATGTGTTTTTAAAGACAGAGGGGGGATGTTGGTGCAGACCTGGCCCTGGTTTGGTGTCTGCAGCCGTAGTGGTGGACGGCTGCTGTGGCTGTAGTGGCTGCGGGGGCTCCAGTGCGTAGCCCCCAGGATGGGCCTGCTGCGGCTGCTCTGGAGTCTGGCTGCTGCTCGGCTGCTGCTGCTGCGATTTGAGGTAGAAAATGTGAGGATAATGAGGGTGCGGCCATAAAAACTAGCAACACAGAAAACCAGAGACAGGCCCAGATGTGGAGGCAAGCACACACACACAAACAAATAAGCAAACAAGCCCAAACGCAAGATTTAAAGCAGAAACAAGGAGCCCGATGGGGTGGGGATGGATTCATAGGACAGCGATGGTGGACAAAATAAAGATCAATGTGGGAGAAATAGCAGGAGGAGGGAACGGCTCAGAACAATGAAGAGGAGCGGAGAGAAGATAGAGAGGGAAATAAATCAAGAGGGGCACAAAAAGACAGAGAAAGAGAGGAAAGACTGTTAACATCCACAGGAGGACACAGGGGGGAAGAAGTCACAACGTCCTTCTTCAGAATCCAGGGAAGCTGTTTGATTTGGGTTTTCGTTTTTTTTTAAAGTGCCAATAGCAATAGTGCATTGGTTTCCAACTTCTGTCATTTAACCCAGAGCCTGCTGGATTCCATTTTATACATCTAATTGGGGCGGCAGAGCTTTTTTTTTTTTATGAACAGAAGGGATATGACATATAATCTGAGCGGATTCTGTAGAAGACGCAGGAGAATATATACAGAACATATGCAGTAAGTAAAAACAGTGATAGAAAATAAGCAGGTGTAGGATTAGAACAGCTACTAACAAGATTACAGTGAATTCATTAGGAGAAAATCGAGTAAGAGCCAAGTTTAGCTGAAAAGTCCCAGGAACATATGATAGGGAAAACCCAAGACTGCTGCAGAACAGAAACACATTAAAACAAGTGCTTTAAGATGATGTGAAGTTCAGAGGAATGTTCTGGACTCAAAGCCATCATGAATTACTTATGAGAAGGCAAGATGGCCCCATAAATGAAAGACACACAGGCCGTCTCCTGTGTGTCACACACGTGGTGGAGAGGGTTGGAGCTCACACTGCAACATGAGACACCTTCTCTCCTCAGCTCCAGTCTATTCAGCTGCTCTCAATGCTACACTAACACAACTGTAACTACAGTAGATGAGCGTGTCAGAGAGCCATACCTGTGGGGGTGTCGGGGTAGAGGAGGGGCGGCCAATAGGAGGCGTTGAATTCCTGCTCCCTGAACCCCCTGCCATGATCTCGTCTGTGATGTCCCTGCCGCCCTGATTGGGGTCACGGATACGGATCTGGGCGGACAATGGCAAAAAAAAAACAATACACTAAAGCATACGAGTTTGAGAGGAACCCTGCGTCAGATATGTTGGGAGCATGCTTCTCATCGGTATACACTAACCAGAGCTTGAGGTATTCTATTTAAGGAACAGGAAACTAGTCACTGACACTTAAATAAAAAAAAACGTAAGTATTTCACCATAGAACATAGAAAGAGAACTTATAATTTTGCATTGTGTTTTAATTGAACCACTAAAAACCTGCAGATGTACATTTTAATCAAACTGTCTTAAGGTGATACGGTCAATATGTTATTTAAAATGGGTGCCAGAAGTCAACTTTGGTACTTTTAAGACAGCACAGAACACGGAGAGTTGTGTGCATCCAGCTGTTTAGCCAGAGCGAATTAAAGAGCAGGTGAGAAAGTCTGCAAATGAGGAATAAAAACTATTTTAATTCAGAATCAAAACATCTCTTCTCTCAATCCACATTTTGTGATGGGAATCATGATATCGTCAAGGCTACAGAACAGCTTTTTAATCTGCCTTTACAGAAGATGATTTTACTAACACAGATTCAAATTTGTATTTTGACTATATTTGCTTTTTGGTAGGAAACATAAGAGTTGGTTCATATCCATGTTAACGTGTGCAAGCATTGTTTTTTAGAATTTCCCCAGAAAATATAGCCATCTGATTAAAGGCTTTTTTTACTTTTTAGAAGAGTGGCTTGGACCTTCCATCGTTTTGAAAAGATTACAAATTTGACAATTGCTGGAGGTTCAGAGTCAACAAGAAATGATTTGGTCAAATATGTACCGTTTTGAAAAAAAGACCTAAGGTACTCACTGTTTTCTTCTCACGCTTGGTTGGTGGAGGTTGCTGTGGTGTAGGCACTATGATGGGGGGTGAGGTGGGGTACACAGACTGTCCGGGGTAGTACTGGGGAACAGCTGTGGGGACGGGAGCGGGAACCGTGGGTGAGACAGGCGGGTGGTACCTGAGGGGGTCTGAATGCAGAAAGGAAAGAGAAGAAAACTGATATCAGCACAACATTCCCGTGCTTTGGAGGAAAACAAGGCTGACTGTGTGTTTGGGGTCAATTCAGATTAGAATGTGGCATAGGAATAATAATTGATGTTTGCAGAGTTCAATTAATGACTCACGATATGGGGAAGAGTAGTCCCCTGGCCCCGGCCCAGGATAGAAGGTGCCGGACCCCGGAGGCTGTACAGAATACTGCTGAGGGGGTCCCACGTAGGGCGTACTGTGGCGATACTGCAAGGAGAGGACAAAGAGAGACAGCTAAACACATGCTCACTTTTGCAATCTGTGAAATCTTTTTCTATTTTGCACATTTGCATAATCATCCTTCTGTGAGATTTTAGATAAGAGCTGTCTTTCAAATCCTTTGTAGATAAATTATATGAACGGTGTTCCTAGAATTCACTCAAATCTAACCCATACCAGCAGCAGCCAGAGAGGATTTCTCTATCTTAACAGCACCAAAAGAAAGATAATTGCAGGTGTTTTACAGAAGTTAAATTAGATGATGTTTTCTTAATTTCTGCATACAATTATTTGTTGAACTATAGAAAGAAAAAGGCTTTTATACATTCAATAGCAGACACAAACATATCAGGAACTGAGGTATGGAGAAGTGTGTTTCCTATGATACCACTCTCATACCTGCTCAATGTGATGCCTAAAAACAGAAGATTGGGGAAACAGCTATCCTTTTTAAAACATAACAAAATCTGGCAGCAAGGACTTGTAAAGCTCAATTATCACAAAATAATATCCTGTTGTTTTATTTTGTATCCAAATTAAAATGTAAAACGTAATATTGTGGTTTTACTGACATTGTGTTCTGGACTATTTCTTGGCCAAGTGCAGTAGCATTATAGAAATGAGAGGTTATCCTTGATTCCAGACTTTGTACTAAGGTAAGCTAACTGTTAAATGTCTGATACTTCTTATTAACAAACGGTTGGCTTCATTCTCCTCATCTAACTCAAATCTAATGCAAAAAATAAAACATAAAAAAATGACTTCAAATATTGTCCTGCAATCTGTTCAATCCATGATGATTGAACAGATTGCAGCCAAAGAACATGTTCTCACTAGTTACTCAATACAATACAAATCATCTTTGAAATTGAACATTTTGTTCATCCTAAATGTTCAGAATCTGCGTTCATCATAATAAATACAAAATCAAATCATATTTTTAGAAGTGATGTGCACACATAACTATAGCTTGAACTGAGGTATAAGACCAAATGTAATTGTAAGAAACAGTTCAGTCTGCCTGTGTCACCTGTGGGATGTAGTACTGAGCAGCCTGTGGGGAGGGGAAAGGCATGGGGGCCATGGTCATCATGATGGGCTGGTTGGTGGGGTAGACAGCTGCTGTAGGCGTCTGGGAGCCGGGCCGTAAGGAGGGGCTGTTAGTAGGGATGGTGGGCCTCGCAGTCTGCATCTGAGTCCTCTGGAAAAACTGAAGGCAACATGTGAAGAAAACCCAGAGGAACAACAAGAGACATTTAGTGCTATCCAGGAGGCGGCCATCTCACTTCCTCATGCTGCCATGCTTTGTCTAAAACACAAACAGGTACTGTTTTTCTTAGATGTCTCCACCATTTGGCCTACACATTTCTCACAGTGAGACAGTCCTGGTATCTATCAGCAGCGTAAAGAGAAACGAGGGGGAAAGAAGGCCCAGCACCGCTACTTCCTCTACACTCTCATTCAGACTGAGGGATAAAAAGGCTAAATGATTTCTAGGCAGCCATGCACACTTTTATACTATGATGTAATGCCTTTGTAAGCCGTAATTTCCACCATGATTTGCTTTACTTAACATCTAAAACTGTATTTAACTGCCAAGCACTATCATGAATAAGATACATGACATGGACAAAGCAGGGAGCACTGCTCTTTGTTTAGACACCTAAATACTTCCTCCTACACGCCTAGGATGGACTAACTAGAAGCTTTAAAAGCATCATTAAATCATATTGAGGAACAATTTAGTAAAAAGCACGGCACATAAGCCGTGAAACAAAAAAGTAATCAGAATGAACTGTCACAATTATTCTAGACCTTCACAATGTATTCTTCAGGAAGGTTATTTTGATGTTTTTGTTATTATCATTATGAAGGTGCGAGGGAGGCAGACATATATAAATGGTTGAAGTGGTTGATCATTTCACTAACGTTTAACTAACTGAATGGAGACTAGCTGCAAAACATTGTGTTGTTGTCAAGGGATGTTTCAGGTATCGTGAGCGGATTTTTTTAAACACCTTGAGAACGTAAGAGTTAAGCAACAAAAGATTGAAAAGCCAGGCTACACATCAGCTACTGAGCCTAGTTTCACAGGAACAACAGGTTTCTAACTGGTCCCAAATGCAGCTGACACAATCTAAAAAGTTGGACCATATAACGCCGGTGACGATTCCTCTGGTTTAACTAACCACTTCATGCAAGACCTGATTTCAAAAGCCTCATTCTTACTTTTAAAGGCTTTTAATGGAGTGGCTGCCTCAAATATATCCAGCTTTATTTCCCCATACACTTAATCACCCCTTTACATTCCCTTGATGCTGGTTACTTTACCATTCCTCGATTTAATAAGAACTCTTTTGGCGGTCGAGCCTTTGCCCACACAGCTGCTCTCCTCCAGCTGCACATTTGGGAGGCAAGCTCTGTTGATACTTTAAATATCAGGCTGGAAACACATATTTTTTCTGTTAGCTGTAATCTGTCCTAATTTCACTGGTCTGTTGCCAAATCTCTTCACCGTTATACCTTCTTAACAACGAGGCTGGATATCCCATGCCTGTTATCGCTACGATGTCAAATCTGTTTTTAAAATGAATAATCTCAACCTCCTCATATTTATATATGTTACATGTGTAACAGTCTCCCAACAGCTCAAAGCTCTATACACTACGAGTCAACATTCATACAATGATGAAAAAAAGCTCATTTACACACAGCTGCCTCTTTTAATTGTGTTATTGTGGCCAGCCTGCCGACTGTAAACAAGCTGCACACAGCTGTGGAAAAGAAAAGAAAAACTCTTGGCCAGCTGAATGGCTTTGAATACCTTTTTATGTGTGTGAGCAGCTTGGCCAACGTTGCAGTTGTGCTGAATGTGTGACAGACACAGCATGGCTTTCTTCATCAGGCAGCAATATGGCCTTTTCTCAAGCCTCACATAAAACACACTCTTAGTGAATGCAGCTACATTTCAATACAGCACGTCACAATCAGTTAAAACGTTTATTAATGGGCAGGTTTTGTGTTTGGACAAAAGGAAGACCACTACCAACAGCTGACAGACTTCCAAGCAACTAAGGGCTCATGCTGGGAATATCCCAAGCGCAGTCACACTGGGCTCCAGTGAAAGAAGGAATAAACAATGCTGCAAAGCGGTCTAAAAATACCCAGGAGGGAAATCACCTTTAACATAATAAAAAATGTATTGCAAATAGCCCTGTGGACATTTGGGAAAGGACCAGGAAGCTGTTCATTACAAGCTGCCCTAAAGACAGTCTCGGTAAAAATCGCTGTCAAAGCAAGAAATATGAGTCGACAGACAAAACAACCTTTCAACACTGTCAACAAAAAAAAGTGCTTTGTAACTTGGGCTGAAAGTAATCACTGAAACAATAAGTGTGCTCTCCAGCAACACTGAAACCATACATACCTCCAATTGGCACAAGACATTAACAGACACATTCTTATTACATGGTTGATACAGAAAATACACTGATCTCTTTCATTCCGCATGCTGTTCATTCAATTGTGCAGGCTAATTAAAGATGAGTAATGAGTGGAGGGAAAACTACAAAATGATGAAGGTGCAGTAATGATCCTCTACATAAAAGGCAGGAAATAATGATGATACATTGATCTGTCTACTGAGCATACACTGGTGAAGATGAGGGGGTGCATGGGGATAGAAGTCAGGAGGAACGGGATCATTTGAGGATGATCCTCATCATGCCATGCAGGTCTGCAGGGAGACTTTTCAAAAGAGAGGTTAATGTTACCTGGATGGGCCTGAATCCTCCCTTGAGTTTTGAAAGCAGGAAAGAGAGAAAAAGCCAATGGGAGGCTGGTACTGGTGACTCAATACAAACACAAGCGGGCAATCAGTCACCCACACACATCAAGGCAGGGAACTACCCAATTATATCCCTCTACCTGACACTGAAACTGGTCCTGAGCCACTTTGATTGGCAAGAATACCTCGAACAATAGAAAAGTGTGTCCTTGGGGTGGGTGGTAAAGTGGAAAAAAGCTTCAGTGAAAATGTCACATCAGCATTTGCCACCCTGACATAACATGCACGGTTGCACTTATATCCTCCGTCCACAAAATCCTGTCTCACCCAAACATACACTTTACTTCCAACTGGTATTACTTTTCTCAAATTGTGCAGTCCCTGCGCCACAAAGTGTTCTCTGCCAGGGAGGGAGGGGGGCTGACAGGTATCACTTCACTGCCCTGATAGCCTGGCAGCTCAAATGTTTGATATAAAGTTAAAGTAAAAAAAAGTTAAAGCCTTTTATTGTCATTATACACAGAGTATAACGAGATTCAGAGTGCAACTCTGTCCCGGCGTGCAAAAAATACAAACAAATACATAACACTAAAAAACACGGCAATAGGACAGACAACATACAATCATACGGGGGAATAAATATTTAAAAATATTGATATAAAAATAGTATATAAAGTGCATTAAAAGTGTGTGTATGTGTGAGAATGGTTACGGTTATTGCATTATGTGTGGTGGTTAAGCAGCCTGACGGCCCAGGGGTAGAAATAGTTTTTGAGTCGGTTTGTTTGTGACTTAGCTCCTGTATCTTCTCCCAGAAGGCAGGAGAGAGAACAGTCTGTGACCTGGGTGAGAGCTGTCCTTTATTCTTTTGTTAGCTCTGCGGCGGCAGCGGGAGGTGGAGATGTATTCCAGAGAGGGCAGCGGGCAGCCATTGGTTTTCTCTGCCATCCTGATCACTCTCTGCAGGGCTTTCTTGTCCGCAGCTGAGCATCCTGCATACCACCCTGAGATGGAGTATGACAGCACGCTCTCGATGGTCGCCCGGAGGACACCAGCAGCTTCTTGTTCAGTCGGTTCCTCCGAAGCACCCTCAGGAAGTGTAGTCGCTGCTGGGCCTTCTTAACTGCTGCAGTGGTGTGTGTTGTCCAGCTGAGGCTCTCCGAAATGTGAACCCCCAGGAAATTAAAGGTGGAGACCCTCTCCACTCTCTCTCCATTGAGGTGAAGGGGGGCGTGCTCTGGACGGTGCTTTTATGAAGTCTATGATGATTTATTTTGTTTTGCTAGTGTTCAGATATAGGTTGTTTGCTGAACACCACGCAGACAGCTTCAGGATCTCGTCTCTGTATGCCGACTCGTCGTCTCCCTTATATATTTGGCCGACAACAGTGGTGTCATCTGCAAATTTGATAATGGAGTTGGAGGGGTGAATGGGAGAGCAGTCGTGTGTGTAGAGTGTGAAGACTAGAGGGCTCAGCACGCAGCCCTGCGGGGAGCCAGTGCTGAGGGTGCGGGTGGAGGAGCAGTAAGGGCCTATTTTCAGTGTCTGAGGACGGTCTGTAAGGAAATTATTAATCCAGGCGCATAAGATGGAGGGGAAACCTAGGCTTGACAGTTTTTCCACTAGTATGTCAGGTATGATGGTGTTAAAAGCTGAGCTAAAATCGACAAACAGCATCCTTATATAGTTGCCTGGGCCTTCTAGGTGGCTCACAGCTGTGTGAAGGACCGTGGGGATGGCATCATCCGTGGATCTGTTGGCTCTATAGGCGAACTGATGAATCATGAAATCAATGCTTTTTTTCCCGTTCCCTGTTGTGTGTTAAATAGGTTTTTGTGCATGTAAATGCTCTGCTAAGGCTAAAATCTCAAAGTTCCCTCCAAAGGGAGATTCTCTCCCACACACTCCCCCCGCCTGAAACGCCTCCATTGGACACCTTTGTTTACTTTAGTAACATTATGACATCACTATGTAATTAGCGTTCCAACACACTGTACGTGATTTGCAAAGGGTAAGCAATATGAAATGTTGACCACAAATACTGCCAGCATACAGGGAGGGGTAAAGGTGGAAATGCCAAATGAAAAAAAATGTAAGGTCCAATGATCATGTGACATTTCTGCTACTTGGAGCAACCAAGAGAAAACACTTAATAGTGTTATTTACACTCTGAATAGCTCTCTGGATTAAACAACAGTTGTTTGTTTTAGTGTAATAACCGCTTGCTGTGACTTTTTGGTTCACACGCAAACAAAAGCTGTGATTGAAATCCATAAACGTCAGTTTCATGCATAAATGTAGGGAATCTTTTTGAATAATGATGACCCTTGTTTGAAGACAGACTTATGTTTTAGCCAAATGAATGCATTTCCTCATCTCTATGTAGCCTTTACTGTGCATTGAGTGTGTTTCAGGGGGACAATGGCTGTTTTCACCATCGGTATAAAAGGCTACTGTTTGGCTTCATCTGCTTTCCGAATCCACTTCCGTGGTGGCACAAGTGATCCCAGCGCCAGTTTGTGACAGCCAGAGCATGCACTTGTATGTGTAAATGTGTTTGTACGAACTCCCAAGGGCAAACACACCCGACACACTTTGACACAACACTATTAATAGTCTGTTAAAAGGCTGTCCACACAGAAGCATCCAGAAGGTGAGGATGTTAGACAACAAGTTACACAAGGAACATCTTGGTGTGGCATGAAACATTACGGTATGAATAAACAACTACAAAAGATAACAGGAAGTAACATGTACTGAATGTCAGCAACTCTTAGCATCCACAAGGTGATCCACAAACCGCACCATAAATAAACCACTGCCAGAAAGGAACACATTAACAGGCCCTTCATAATCTAATGACATTGGTTCACAAGGTGTCAAATGCCTGACAGGAAACTCACAGACGGAGCCTTCTACCTTTACCACTGGCTGTCTTTGTTCTGACAACTTAAGACCACCACTTGATTATACTATAATCAAGGGTGCACATAACTTTCTCAGTGAGGTACTCAGATGAGTACCTGGAGTCAGTGTTTGGTACTCCAACTTCTGGCTCCACTCAAAGTTATGTGATGAAGCCCTCTGTATCGCGAACGTCAACGGAGAGGGTGGGGGGGGTGGTGTGTGCTAGTGGAGTACTTTGTGATCACAGAGCATGAACGTTGTGATCAGCTGTTTTTAGGCAGTTCTCCAGTGTGCCCAGAAGGGGTACAGACCGACGTTAACAGCAGCCCTGTCTGTGCACACGGAGACCGACTCTGTCGTCCGGTGATCTAACCGCCTTCTGGAAAAGCTTCACAAGTACGTCGGTACGCAAATGCGCTTTGTGACACAAGTGACGGTACGCATTTCAGATTGTTGCCGCGCATGCGTAACTGCGTACCAGTTATGTGCACCCCTGATTATATCGGTAAAGATATCAAAAGTAGTGTAAGTGTAAATCCTTTTCTCGTTTAAAAATAGCACCTAAAGAAATTGGTTTTCGATGATAACCTGATAGCCAACTATTAATAGTTAGTAATTCATATTTCGTTTAATATTATATTTGTTAAGACTGTATTTTAGGGTTGTAAGAAGAAATGTCAAGGAAGCTGAACTATCCCCCCCAAAAAACTCCCAAAGGTTCTGTATCTCTAATTCATTGATGAAATGTAAACCTGTCTGACTAAGCTGGTTTACACATCATGGCAATCATTTCTAAAACACAGCAGAAGAAAAGAGGAGGAGGAGGAAGAAGATGAGGAGGAGGTGAAGGAGGAGGAAAATGAGGAAGATGAGGAGGAGGAGGAGGAGGAGTTAGAGCCTCACCTCCTCAGCAACGCTCCACAGCTCCTCATCGCTGTGACGGCCGTGAGGGTCCAGATTCATCCGGAAAGTGCCGGTCAGGATAAACACTCTCTGTTTAAAACACAAAGAGAATATGGCAGGTTGCATTGACACTGTTTTTAAAATGTTGACACAATGTCAATAATTGATTTTCATGCTTTGAGATTTTGAAGTATTTTCCAGCGACATACAATTAATCAGTCAAATATAAAAAATGATGTAGTATTTATTTATATACATATACGTATATACTCAAGAGTAGTGGTTCAGTATGTTGGTCAAAAGCAAATTAATTAACATTTATTAAAAAAATACCCATGAATATGAAAGCAAGTATTGGCTTTCAGGACTTGTTTCTGTACCTCAGTAAAGTTTGTTTTTTAAGTCAAATTTATTTGACTTATTTTTGACAAAACGGAAAAGGTCTTGACCTTGAGATGCACCACATTTTGCCCAAAATGGGTGAGTCTCATCCACAATAATGTAGACTTAACTAAAAGAACATTTGTGGTGTACTAAAAACTCTTTAGATGACAATTTGTTCAACTCTAAATGGTAAATTCTTAACAATAAACCATTTAAAATCATATTTTGTGGTTTCCTGGCTGCACCTCTTTATCGAATTCTGTTGAAATGTAATTCTCCTTCCCCTTTCAAGATTTTCCTGCCAATATTTGAATTGAAACAAGAAACCTTTCTTATGCAGTGTGTTGTTAAGAGTCAGTTTTACCTGTGGCACGACCCCGAAGGCCTTCCTCCAGGTGTGCAGGGAGACGGAGCTCCAGGAGACGCCGTCGATGGAGATCTCTCCGTCAGTGGAGGCGAGGCGCAGCAGAGCGGAGAGAAGCGTGCTTTTACCTGAACCCGTCCGACCCAGCAGACCAATCTAATAATAATAATAATAATAATACACGTTATTTATACAGCACTTTTCCTGGTGCTCAAAGAGCTTAATCTACCTATCTATCCATCCATCTATCTATCTATCTATCCATCCATCCATCCATCTATCTATCTATCTGTCTATCCATCTATCTTAATCAACACACAACAGAAAATAATGAAACTACTGGAAATAAATCACACATTTTAGCGAAGACCAAAGTCTTATGAACTTTTAGACAAAAAAAAATTAGAGAAAAAGAAGATAAACATAATAAATGTAACGAAAATTTAGCAAGACACACTGTGCTTTTGTTACCCTTTACCACCAACCACTTGGTTAAGTTAGTCTAAAGTAAAACACTGATATGTGCTTTACGACAACTCTCAATCCAACCTATTAGTAATAGACACTCAAACTGGGGAAAGTGTATTGTGTAATAAGATAACTAGTCTCATCTACCTTGTATAACTACTTTCGTCGAAATATTGTTAGCCCGGCTCGTATTGCAGTGAGAATACCAGATCATACAGGGGAACTAAAATGGAAAGAGACCTGGGAAATTGACGGAGAGTCTGACCAGTCACAAATTTTAGGGTTTTTCCGAAGTCCGTTAGTCCAGACGGCCGGAAAGTAAGTATAGGACAGTGTGTAGGAATACATAAAGGGGAGTATGTCTTTCCATATGCAAAGAATTTGTGGGAGAAAATATCGACGTGTCGAGAACTGTGAAATTAAATGAGGGTTTACATAAAGATCGTTCGTTCGATCGTTCAGATAGCTTTAATCGAATCGCGCAATCGAAATCGCGCAATCGAATCGCGTAATCGGAATCGCGCAATCGAATCGCGAATCGCAGCGAATCACGACTTGTTCGATTTGTTTTTACCATTAACGTCATATGTTGTATGATAATTATAAGGAATGTAATGTATGTATACACTGCGACATTTATTCTCTGTACTTGCAATATTGTCTTCGAAATGTTGAATTTAGGAGTCACTGATATGGGTCCGATGAAGTTAAAATCGTAGTCCTCTTTGTGTCGGTGGTAAGAGTTAATCAAGTCTGAGTCTCTCTACCTAATCTACCACTGTCTCTGAAAATAAAACATGGAAAGAATAGGACACACACGACACTGAAATTTACATCCGAAAATTACTTGA